GCTCTTTTTATATTTAGACTGTGTCATCAACAATATCATTATACATAAAAATACTGTTCATCTTTTTACTAGTTTTATGGCCTTGGGCCAATTAATTTAACTTTGTACATCTCAGAGAATGTTAATAATACCACCTCTGTGTATCTCACTGAATCGTTGTGAGGATCAAATAATATATTTTGTGTGAAAGCAAACGAAGTAATGTATGTTGTGTAAAAGCCCTCTGCAATTGTGGGGAGCTGTATAATGCTTTATTGTTGTTATAATCCCATAATTGTTTATCTAAGACACGAGAGGCCCTAAGCATCTAAGCACTTTAATGAACTGCCAGTATGGATTAAGTGAAGAGGACACATTAATGTCAGAAAAAGGGAAAAAGCCTGGTCATTGATACCCATTTAGGATTCCACAAATGTAAACATATATCATTGAAATGATTGTTAAATTGTAAAGATAATTTTTTATTTTGCAATCAAATAAGCTTTCTCAGAAAGTTTTATTTAGCGCCTGAAGGGTCAAAAGTTTAGCCTTTAAATGAATGCTAGTCTGATGTGTTTATCTTAGAGATACATAAAATGAGTTTTCTGTTTGAGAGGCACCAAGGAATTCTTGAGACAGCCTTGAAATGTTTGAGCCAGTGTTCCTGGACCAGAAAAGTACTTAAAGACCAAAACTAAAACATAGAAAAATGCATTCTTGACATGGCCTGTGCCCTAAATGATTTGACAAATCATCCCTCACTTCCCTTTAACTACATTGCTGTCCTTTTTTGCAGTTTTTCTTTTTTTTTTTTCCCATCCTACTGGGGCAGGTAGGAGCCTGGGGGAGGAAATTTCTGGGATGAGATGGTCTTGCCTCAAAGTTGAATGAATCTAGATGTCTTTGCGATAGGCTCTGATATAGTTAATCCCCTAAGTAAAGAAGATGAAATTCAATGGTATATGTGCCAGTTCTGCACATCTGTTCACCTCCTGTGAAAAACAGAAGATCCATCACTGGAAAGGCAGTGATTGTATGTATGCTTTGTGTCCCTAGGCATGGAGAGTCCCCTTTTTCGGGGAGCAATGTTGAATTTGAAACCTTTCGTGGAGTAGAATCAGAAGAAAGAAAGTAGCTGAGAATGGAAAGGACTTCAGTGCATAAGAGACGCAGGACAACTCTTACAGAGAGGGAAGTGAGAACAATTTGTTTTACAAAGAAAGGACATTTCATGTAAAGCCTGAGCACTGTGACAGACTGTGATTTGTGTAGAGGAAGAGCCAGTGATATCTGGCCAGTGGTTTGTAATTACAGTCTTCTCTTGGCAGTGCTAGCTCTAGTAATAATTTGAGCTTCAGATATTCTTAGTGAAACTCGGCAGTTCTAGGGACCTGGTTTTGAGGAAATGAATTGGTAATGTAGCTCAAATTTTCAGCAAAACTTTTTTGAAACGGACTAGGAAAGATCAGTTTTTAGCCAAAGTAAATAATGTAGGAAAGAGAAATAAAACATAGAGCTATTAGAAAGGAGATCCAATTCACATTATTTGTAGAAAATATGATGCTATATTCTGTACTATTAAGACTATTAAGAATTCAATTAGCTGTTCATATAGGTAATAATTATCCAAATGCAGTAGCTTTCCTATGTATGAGCAATAAAATGAGAGAATATTGTATGAAAAAAGTTTATTCATAGTTGCAACTGAAAATATAAAACAATTAACAAAAAGCTTTTTGTAAGTTATAAAACTTAAGTGGAATAATGTGTGTAAATTTCTTCAAAATTTAATTAGATGTTTCAGTGAATCCCAATCTCAATTTCCTCTGGAATAATAAAGAAGTGAATAATTAGAAACTTAAGAAGGAACAATGAGAGCAGTGTCTTCTTCAGAGAGTGGCGTGTATTATAATGTTACAGAATCAAAACAGTGTAGTTGTCACTGCAATTGACAGAAAAATCTGTGGGATCTAGTGGGACCCTTGGTTGAGCCCCAAAGACAGTGATTTGCACATTATTCTGGAGACCCCTAAGATTCCCAGAAGTGCCTTTAGCCATTAGAGGGAGTGAGTATGGGGGCTCTGAGCTCTCTCATCTCCAGCTCTACAAGAACAGCTCTGCTTTTGTGTGTTTTAGATGTTGAGTTCCCACATTTATATATAGGTTTCACATTTTGAAGTTTTCATTGCCCTGGTATTCATATGTGATAGAAGACGCCTTACTAACCATGTGTGTCTTATGAAACAAATTACATTGGGGAAACGTGTCTTACTCTTGCGAGGTGGGGGCTTAAGTTAATATTCACCTTGATACAAGCATAAATTCCAGGTGAATTAAAAAATGAAAATAAACAATCTTGAGAGAAACACTTGTAGGTGTTTGCATGCTCTCTGAATACAAGGAATTTTTTAAACATTAAAGCAGGTCCGTGGAAAAGACTGAGGGAGAATTGCTTGAGTAAAAATAGAAAACTTTGCATAACTCACTGAAACATCCAAAACAAAAGCAGCACCAAGGCCAAGCGGTGCCTTGTGACCAAGAGATTGCTGGGACTGTAGGCAGTTACTCCATCTGAGGTTTGGGCCTGGTAGCTCACGATGCCAGTGTACTCTGAGTGCGGCTTGTCCCCACGCTAGTGTTTTAGAGTGTGGCTGCCTGTGAGTCTGATTCATGTCTCTGCCATGTGTCACATTATTTTGATGGCATCAATGATTTGTTCTGTGAAGGTAATTTCTCCCTATCTTTTTGTTCTATTAATATTTTCACAGCTAGTTCAGAAAAGCTCATTCACACCCAGCAACCTCTCCTCCTCTGTCTCCATTCTCTGTCTTGCAGGAACGGAGGGTGGCTTCTGGTATTGTGTTCATTCCCTTCCTGCCTCTCCTCCACTTCATGATGTAATTCTTGGCACTTTTACTTCCTTTGTAGAGTAGGATGTGATGTCATAGAGAAGGGAACAGGGCTATCCAAATTCTCTCAATTGCTGGGAGGAGCTGCCCAGGTGTGCTGAGGGGCCTGTACTCAGGAAGAGAAACAGGGAGTCCTCCACAGTGAGTAACCCCATTTTCGAGTGCACCCAATTTCCGTTAAAATGTTGTCCAGTACACTGGAGTTTCCTCTTCGGCCCTTTCTATAATAGATTTAAATCAGTTTGCCTTTAGACATTCCCAGTTCAGCTCAATTTTCCTCCATTCTCTCTCTCCTGCTCTTCCCCCTTTCCACCATCCTGTGCCTCTCCCTCCTGTTTCCCTCTTCCTTGCTTGCTTACTGCGTGTTGTGTCTGTTGACCTTCTGCCTGTGTCTTTTATGAGAGCCCCATACCTCCCTTGTGGGCCGATGCCTACCCTCTGTGGCCCATGTGACCACAGCATCTCTTTTCAGCAATTCATAATTATGTACTGTTCTATTTACAGCTCTTCTTATTTTAAAAGTTCTGTCAGCTTTTTGTTTTCATGTCTATCTCTTCCTTTCTCTGTGATCTAATCTTTCCCCCTCTTCAGCTCTATTGTGCAGTTTCCTTATTGCCTTTTCCCAACATTTTACACTTTACTCCTCTTCCTTATGCAGCTTTGCCCATGTTTGTTTCCCCTTTCCCAGTTTTCATTGTCCTCCTCCGTGAGGACCGTTTTCCTTCTTTCCTGTTGGCATAATTGTTGCCATGCCCTCATTCTAGTGTGGCTTATATTCCTGTATTCTTTAAAGAACTTACCCACTATGAGTAAGGGATTGATCAGGATTGGGAAACCTGGGGCAATTGTCTGGACACTGGAAAGGGGAGAGTAGGAGAGTTGCCTAAAGGTTAGGAGGGGCGGGCTGTGTGTAACTCATTGGAGGATTTGATGGACAGAGCCTTCGTTAGCAAATTATTTGACATTTGGTCATTGACAGTAGAGGAGATCACAGAGTTATTATGAACAGATTTGAAGCTATTCAATTTTAAGTTTTTAGGATACCCTGTTAATTCTTCATAATTATTCTTCTAGTAAATAATCATAAATTAAAACTCTTAAAGATACTTCCTTAAGTAGCATGGGGCCATGACTTGTGCATGAAGCTCCTGTGGAGCATGTTTAATTAGTTGTCCTTTACCCCCGGAGGAGGTCGTTGTGAGGATGTGTGTAGACTTGTTCTTTGTATACAGATGTGGCCCCTGTAGTCCATGTAGATGAGCTACGTGGGCACCGCTGCTTATTGCTTCTACCACATGGAGTTAATTCCCTGGAAAAAGAAAGGAGCCTGATTTCCAGGGCTGATGGGATAAGGCCTGTGGAAATGATCAACTATGTCCCATGTATTTCCCCAACCTTTAAAAGAAGCCCACTCCAAAAAGTATAAGTAGAGTAGAAAGGGAGAGAAAGAAAATGGGACAGAGTTTATAAAACTGAGATGGGCCGAATGAGAAGAGGAAAGGGTTTACTTGAAATTAACTGGAAAAGGCAAAGGAAAGGAAACTGAGCTGAACTGGAAAACACTGTAATGAGTTACGTGGGCTCCTGTATGCTGCCTTCAACATTTTAGCCACGAATCCAGTGAAGCTGTTTCTGACCAGCACTCTGTTCTCTGCTTTTGTATTCAGGCTCCATGTTTCCGGGATCTGGAAACTTAGGAAACATTTTAACAGCCCGAAAACGTGTCTTTAATCATAAAATATTAGCAATTTTTTAAATAGAGGAAATTATATACATTTATGAACTTGGTGTCTTTAGAGTTCCCTTTTTTCTTTTTTTTTTGGTGTATATGCCTTTGGGGACATTTTCTTTTCTTTTCTTTCTTTCTTTTTTTTTTCTTTTCTTTTTTTTAAGAATGGCCCCTATATGTTGCAGAAATTTCCAGTTTAAATGTCCAGAAAAAAAATTGCATTCTCCCTTTAGATACCAGAGCTTTGTGGTGGGAACGACTTTAACATAAAAGCCCCTTCCCCTTTAAAACTTTAAGCAAAAATTGCATGTTTTACACACGTTTTCACTTTGTATGCTTCCATGCAATAGTCTAGGAATCTTATGTTTGCTTTTATTTTTCAGGCACTAGAAAAACATCCCAACTCACCAATGACAGCAAAGCAGATATTGGAAGTCATTCAGAAAGAAGGGTTAAAAGAAACAAGGTCAGTATTCATATTTAAAACATTTTCTGTTTTCATTGATTAATAATTGTCTCTAGTTGCAAAGCAATAGGTGTATCTAGATTTTTATACCATAGTTGATTGTGAATTAAGTAACTACCTGAAAATTCTTCCGTGATTGCAGAATAGTTGGATGATTTAAGATTTCCTTGGAGGTGCCTGTTGCCTTAATAGATTACATTAGATGGATTGACATAGAAGGTACTTTGTTAACAAAAAGCAGCACTGTGTGCCTTAGCCCCTCATTGAAGTTATTCCTGTTTCTCTTTCTTGTAAGAGGAGATTGTGTTTCTGAAAGTGAGTAGTGAAAGAGAAATACTTTCACAGGCTTAATAGACAGATCCCAGGATATAAAGATGAACTCACTCTGATAAAAATCAAAGTGCCAATAAATGTGGTTGAAATTTTAGTCCTCTTGTATTTAAGAACTCCACTTGGAATGTCCTTTATCAACTGTTGAGCCTAAAATTTACTCTTTTAAAATGTACAATTTAGTGATTTATATTATATTCACAAAGTTGTGCATAATCACCACTATCTTACTTTAGAAAATTTTCATCACCCTAAAATGAAACCCTGTACCCATTAGCAGTCACTCTCCATTCCCAGCACCCCTGCCTCTGGCAACCACTAATCTACTTTCTGTCTGTATGGATTTTCTATTCTAGACATTTAATATAAGTGGAATCATATAATATGTAGCCTTTTGTGACTGACTTCTTTCACTTAGCATAATGTGTTAAAAGTTCATTTCTGTTGTAGCATATATCAGGATTTCATTCCTTTTTGTTGCCAGATAGTATTTCATTGTGTGATAGACATTTTGTTTATTCATGATGATCCTTTATTTTTATTTATGTATTAATTTTACAGTTTTGGCTTTAGCCAGCAGTTTAGGGTCATTTGGATTAGATTACTCAAGGAGAAAAGAGGTTTGTTGCAGGATAAAGTAGCTATGATGTTGTCCCGTGTGTACGTAATCAGCTGTGCTACAGAGAATGGACTTTTGTTTATGAGCTGTCTATCTGCAAACCATTGAGCATACAGTGGTTACAATTTGGTAAAATTAAACCTACTAAGATACCTTTGGAATGTTTTGATTGATGTTGATACAGAACTGCTGAGAGAAAGGAATATCCTCCTGAGACCAACTTTTCCTAAAAAAATAGGTTTCACCTGTAACTCCTATAACTTTAAAGTGTGGGTAACATCAATCTCTAGCTGTTTAAAATGTATCTTTTGCAAGTTATATTCATAGACATAACAATTTAGTGGGATTTAGGACACCTACGCTCAAATTTTCATATTTATTTTGGAGATTTTTTTTTTCTGCCTGCTCCCTGAGATAATGTAACTACACTGTGTTTGCAATAATTCTTCTCCCATGAGGTGGAGGCAACAATGGAGAGGTTAGTTGCTAACAATACCTAATAGTTCTGTTAAAGGAGATCCTGTTCTCAGCCAGATGTCAGTGTGGGGAGTTAGGGAAAAAAATGGGAAAAACTGGAAGTTAATTTTCTCCTTGCCACGTGTCAATAACCTTGAAAATATTTATGTCATTTAGAAAGCACTGAAAATGCTTGTGGCACAGCTAGTAAGAAAAGAGGGGTTAAAAAATCTAAGGATGTAAGCTCCCATCTAATATGGGCTTTGTGCCAGAGGAATCTGCCAACACAGTCATAAAAAGCATCTCCTAAGAGTAGACATTTGAAATTTGTTCATTAAGATATTCTCCACAGAAGTGACTCTGCTGCTATCAGTTTGTTATGTACCTTGAGGTATAAAATTCCTGTACCATGGCTCGTAACAGCATTTTAATTACACTTATTATCGTAACAGCATTATTTTAAATTTTTCAAAATGCTGGTCCTCCTAGAACGGTATATTAAAGGGCTTTAAGCATTATGTAGTTAGCAAAAACAAACAGAAAACTACAAAACAAAACAATTTTTTAAAGAGTAATTACAGAACATTAAAATGGGAACTATAAAGGCACCTCCTCTCTTCCCACCCCATCGCACCATAACTGTGTCCTTCTGTAAAACAAAAAACGTGCTTGTTACAAATAGTGATGAACCAGTAGAGTATTAGTGAAAGTGCCTGCAAGCAATTTCCAAGTTGACTAGGAAAGGAAAAAAGCAAAGGAAAAGACCACAGTTCTTTTAAAGTTCTCTTCTGTAAAATCAGCTCTGCACTGAGTGGTCTCAGATTATGCATTTTGTAGTCTCATTTCTTTTTTCATTCTGTTTCTTTAAATTTCTCCCCTCCTGTCAATGGTAACCTATTACTTATGGTCCATGTATCTCTGCTCACTCTCCCCTTGTTTTTTTGTTCCAGTTTGCTTATTAGAATCACTTCTAAAATAAACATATATATATATTTATTTATTTTGAGTGAGTTTGGGGCTGTCCCATATGTTATGTATGTTGTTTTAAGGAGAAGATACTGACAATTTATTTTGTCTACTTAATGTACTGTTTTGCTACTTCTGAATTTCTTAAATTATTTCCAAATATTTAAGGTAGCTGAATAAATGAGGTGTAACTGTGTGTATTTTTCTTAAAGTTAGAAATTCCACCATCATAAGGTCAAATATAGCTGATTAATTTCCAGGTATTTATTAATGATGTGTTTTTCAAGAAATGTGGGTTGGTAATGAGCCTGATTAAATACAGGGATGTGTAATTGTGAAATCACTTGAGGTGGCCATAGCCCTCTGGTGGTCTCCTCTATGGATGAGATTGAGAGAGAGAGGTAATGTTAAGTCCTCCTCCAAATAGTCCATCGCTGTACCTAGCATCTCTAAAAGAGGAAAGATAGGCCACCATTACTACAACCTGGACTTAAAGTAGGGCCATTCTATGGGGATCCTTCATTCTCTGTGTGCCAGCCAGGTCCGCTGTAGCATTTACCTTGCTGTACTGTAATGTTATTCTGGTACGTCTTCCCGGCCTGTCTGTGAGCAACGTAAGGGTAGAGTACCTAACATTCCTGGCATTCAGCAGATACTCAATAAATAATTGTCGAATCAATAATCTTCTTTCTCAAGATGTTAATTTGCTGGTGCTTAGTGACCAGTTTGGCTTATATTCAGAGTTAGAAGCTTCTTTTTAGCATTACACATTGTATTTTCCATCCTATTCAATAGTTGTTTTTCTTTACATCAAAAGAAACCTAACAATTTTGCATGCTTATAGTCCTCAGCAGATTATCTGTGAACAAGTAATGTCATTGTACTGTTGCTTGTTTTCAAGCCACTGGTTTAAACTTGTAATTTACAGCAACAGCAACAACGAGAAACTACACCAATAATTTTGGCAAAGCTAATGTGGGTATTTGAGTATGTTCAGTATATGCGATATTGTTTCTTTATTTGAGATTAAATTATTCACATTTTACAATATCCTTTTTCCTTTCAAGTGACACTTTAAATTATATACTTTTCACGTAGACATGATAAAAAGAGGTTAACTTTACTACATAACGTTTCGTGTATTATCTTTATGTTATTGATGAAATGAGTAGAGTATGATTAAATTTTATTTGGAAAAGCCAGAATGAAATACTTTCCATGTGGTTTTAAGATACGTGAATAGAATGAATTGTCAGAAGGACATGTGGTTTTTGTTGAAAAAATTAATAATGTGATCATAACATGACTATTTTAGACCTAGTTTTCTTTTTTTAAGAAAATGCATTTGGTAAGGTTTACTTCCTTTCTGTGTAATAGGATAGAAGATTTTATCAATAAAATTTTTTTTATCAATAAAATTTTTTTTCCATCTGTGTTCTTTACTTATTCCGCGTGTTTTCAGGCTTCTCTTCCTTTGTGTTTTATTGGTTGTCAACAATTAATCAGTCATAGTTGTTTGGAAGCTTTTCAGACAATTAGAATCTTATAATCAATCAAATAGCCATGTTGCTTGCGTAGAGGGGATTAAAATGTGCATATTCCAATCTACTGCTTTTGTGGATGGATATTTGATATTCCCGTTTGGACTTCTTAGCTAAACATTCCCACTTCCTCAGGGAGCTAGGGTGCTGTTGTAGAATATGTTCTTGTCTGCAGTAAGTAAAAATATTTTTGTAGAAAAAGAGGAGTAACTCTTGTTACAGTGTTGCTTTGGATGATTTTGTTACAGTGTTGCTTTGGATGATTTTGGGGATTGTCCCAATTCTGCTTTTCTGTTTTTGATTTGCTTGTTCAGAAGTTAACATTCTTTTACAAAGAGGACTGTGGGGTTTTTTGATGCCTGAGGATGTGTTTTTTTTCCTGCCATGTCTCATGTAATTTTTAAAGTGATGCTTCCAAAGAAATGTGTGCTCTGTTACAGTGACAGCTCCAGAGGCTGCAAGGTCACGGAGGGAGGCTTGCCTCAATTATGTAGCAAGAGCAAAACAACCATTCATTAGTTTGGACTAATTTCTTATGTGCTGGACATTATCATTACAAGATACCTATAATTAATGTAGCATGGACTGTGACATGGTTTTTATATTATTTGCTAATAGGTAAATAGTATCCAATGGGGGAGAAGTGGTCATAAATTTTTTAAAAAACATACACACTATCACACAAAGCAGTAAAAAAATCTGTTGAGTTGGGGGCAAGGTGATATTTATGAGGTACATTTTTATAATATTGTAGATGCTTTGCTTTATAAAATCAACGTTAGATTTCATCAGCTCTTTACAAAGCAAGCAGCCTATAATTACACATCCCAGTAGAGACATTAAAAAAAAGTTTTATAAAACATTATTATGTTTAGTGTTACACAGATTATGGACTTATTTTAGATTTTGTGAGGTAGAACATTCACTTGACAACCCAAGATTTTGTAATTATTCTAGTATAAATGAGAATTTTTTATTTCTATTGATAATTCTTAGAATAAATTTTTATTTACCACCTTGTTTAAAGCTTTTTGTGTTTTCTGTTTTGCAGTCTCTGTTATGATATGCCAAAATTAGGATCACCACTT